ACACACACACGCACACACACGCACACACCCACGCACACACACTCAAGCACACACACGCACACACACTCACTCACGCACACACACACACACACACACACACACACACACACACACTCACACACACACACAATCAAACTCCATCCCACATATGCATCAGAACGAGCACACTCTCAGTGCGACACACAGACAGAAAGGTTATACGTTAACATAGATAAGAATGTGTTGACATGATATATTCGGTGTTAAAAAGAAAGAAAAAGAAAACTAAAACAAGGAAAAACGAAGAGATACCCATGCAAAGGGCAATAACTCGGCCATCTTTGCGTTAATGTCAACTAAACATCAAACCAATAATATAAGTAAAATTCAACTACTGGTATGCCAAATTTTTCAATATATTATAATATAACATAACATATTATAATATGATTTAGTATAATATAATGCAAGAAAATAGAATAGAATAGTTTATGATAGGATGTGATATTATGTAAAATAATGCAATATGTATGCCGGTGGGTACTTGGAGGGTGTTCTGGTGTGGCTTGCTCCTTCTGTCCTATCAAACATCTATCGTCTCCCTTCTTTTTGTGTTTGCTTCTCTCTGACAAAACCTCTAATCTTCTGCACAAATAAGACCTAATTGTGTTGCAAGTGCCGTTAAACTCTTACTAAAATAAAACATATGTGAGGCATCGTGGTGGAATCAGGCTCTCGTCAATTTCTGGGTGTCTAGAGTTATTGGTATCATCTTAAAGCTTGTTCATTTGTCTTTATTTGGACGAAAAAAATATCTATTTGCCTTGAATACAAGTCGAGATATTTGCGAATGAAGTAGGTGGGGGGCACCTGTTTTCAGCGGTAAAATTAGTGAAAAAATGATCGCCAAAGATTATTTTTTTCCTTAGCTTAAAAGTCCGTGGTAACTGAAAATTTACTTTTTTTTGTGTGCCTTGAATCAACGTTTTTCAGAAAAATTCACACAGAAATGAGTTCTTTAATGGGCATGAAAGGTATTGAGCTAAAAAACAAAAATTTGATAAACATTCTCAAACCTGTGGAAAAAGGCAAGTTTCTTCAATTTGATTATTTTGACGAGAGCCTGATTCCACCACGATGCCTCACATATTATATTTGTGTATCGATAAGAGTAGGCTTCCGCGCCACCTGGGCAAAATTCAAAACGTATTCCTATCAACTGATTTAAATGTTTAATTCAATGTGCTCCGCGCGCTCATGTGACCTTAAGCAGTTACGAGCGCCGTAAAACACATTTTTAAAAATACATAATGTGTTTAAATCATGTCTCTCCTTTATCCAAGTATGAAGGCGTCATCGGGGAAGGGAGCCATGATCTCGTCCATCACATGGAGGTGTTCCACTGCCCACTGGACAAAGGTCAGTTTTCTGTGGTTGTTTGCTTGTCTGTTTGTTATTGGTGTTATCGCTGACCAAAAAAGCGCTGCAAAAACACCCTAAAATGTCTCTTAAAGACTTAAATATAGATACTTCGACATGGGAGAGCCTAGCTCCTGGCAGACCCAGCTGGAGAGCAGCAGTCACAGTGGACAGGAAATCGTATGAGGCTTCACGGATAAGAAATGCTGAAACAAAAAGAGGAGCTCGCAACCTGCGCACATCCACAAGTGGAAGTGGAGCTTTTCAATGTTCACAAAGCGGCAAACTTTTCTCTGCCAGAATTGGTCTCATCGGCCTCAGCAGATGCCACAAGTCATCTTACACTTTAAATTATTCAAATTCGTCTATTTCCCTGGAAAATTAATATTCTCCTATGCAGTTGTATAGGTCATCATCAAGCAGTGACGGACGAGCTATTGTTATTATTTTTGGTGAGATATTCATGCTGCTAATACGAGTATAACTGCTGCTTCTTTAGATGATAATTTCGCCGTCGCTGTTGTTGTTGCTGCTGCTATTCTTATTACTGTTGTTGCTGTTGTTGATGTTACTGTTTTTGTTTCAAACTATGCAGAAGTATAACATTTTCAACTTGGACCTAGGTCAGTTCAATGTGAGTGTGTGTGCGCGTGTGTGCTGGTCTGCAGATCTTACTGTTGTCCTTGCGTCGTTGCTTCTTCTGTTGGTGCTGCTACTACTGGTGTTGTTGTTGCTGTTGTTGTTGTTGTTGTTGTTGTTGTTATTGTTGTTGTTATTGTTGTCACTATACTTACAGCTTTTGCCTTGTTGCTGCTGCTTGCAGCTCAGTTTCTGCATCTGCCGCAGTCAGTGTTGGTGCTATTTTGAAGAATTGTAGCAAAATATGAAATCTCATTTACGCAAAAAGAGATCTGTTTTAGTTTTTAATGTAATTAATCGTAATATTTCCGATTACCTAGGTGATCAAACTAACTTGATTGTTCATGTTCCCTGCCCTCATCGACACCTTTTTGATCATTTGGGTGGAAGGCTGCCACGGCCCTGTAAACGTCTGCTGACCAGCGTCAGTGATGTACTGGTTCTGTGCCTCACTGTCGCGTGCTGGGGATCCGATTTCAATTGCTGTGTGAGGAGAATTTTTATTACAGAGTATCTTGGTCTCGCTGCTCGGACTTTGTATCCCTCTCAGCCTGGGATGGCCCTGACAGGCAGGGTCTGAGCCCTCCTCCTAAATTCCCTTTATTGTGCCGATGGGGCGTAAAACAACTACAGTTAAAGGAAATAATTGCTTTTGTTGGGGTCGTTCGTGTTATGGTAAGACTCTTCGCGGTTGTACACAGAAGACGTGAGCTTGATATCTGGGGAAGTTATTTTGTCGAGGATCTCCTGCTTGCCGGGTTCTTGTATTCTTCTCAGCTTGGAGTTGTTGGAAGGTGTTGTGCTGTATTCTGTATCTTCTATTAACTTGTTGAGCGTTGTCACATTGAAGTCTGATCCTGTTTATAATAATAACCATGTACCGCTCTCCTGCTGAGACTAAAAGATTACTCGTCCCTCACCACCTCTCCCTCTTTTCCTCCCTCCGACTTACACACACACCCACACACACACACACACACACACACACACACACACACACACAGGAAGCAGTATTCCGTACTTCAGCGGGCCCGGCCTGGGGGAAGGAAAGCCACACGGTCTGGAAGTCTGCAGGGAGGTCATCGGAGCATGGGCTATGGGAGCGGAGGTGACTTGTCCTGTTCCAATCTTTGTATCTCGAGACGGTGGAATCACGTGCTATTCAACTTTAGGCCTTATGGAGCGACCTATTAATATTACTTTAATGCTTATTCGTTTGCCTTGCATCTGGCCCACAAAAAATATTCATCTATCTTGAATAGAAGTCGAGATATTTGAGATTGAACGAGGTGGGAGTCGCTTGGTATCAGAGCTAAAATTAGTGAGATAATGGCCCCAAAATTTGGTTACTTCCAAATCTTGAGTGTCCTTACAAACTGGACATTTACATTTTTATGCATTTGATCAACTTTTTTCAGTAAAACCAACAAAGAAATTTGTTTTTAAATTTGCTTAAAAAGTATTGAGCAAGAAAAGAAATCTTTTTTTTTTAAATTGTGACCAGAAGACAGAAACCTTTTTCGATTCCGTTATTTTGACTAGCACGAGCGCCTGATTTCACTACGCTACTTCACCTTTGTTTGAAGTCGTAGGTGATTGTTTGTTGATTATCTAGATCTAGACCCAATTAGAAGGAGGAATACGTTAAGGGCGAGTGTGAATGAAGGAATAAAAGCGGTTTAGATTGTAAAAAGGTTGGGGGGGGGGCAGTTGGAGGAGAGTGTGGAAAAAACCGAAGAGGAGGGGGGAGGCGGAAAAAGAAAGGGTGGGGGAGTCGTTTATTGTTCATACTCTGTGAAAGATGACAGTTTAGTGCGCTCACTGGACTTTATTTTGTACTGCAGGGAATGATATCATAATACTTTTTATATAATATAACAGTGAGGAGGGAACAAAACCAGATCTATGTACGTCATGACACTATCTATCTATACTCGTCACTAATGCTGTCTCTGTCTCTGTCTGTCTGTCTGTTTGTCTGTCTCTTTCACTCTCTCTCTCTCACACTCTCTCTCTATCTCTCTCTTTTTCTTTTTCATTCTCTTTCTCTCTCTCTCTCTCTCTCTCTCTCTCTCTCTCT